GAGGAGACCTGAACGAAGCCTGCCATTTCCTCACATTTCAGAGGAGTGAAATTTGGAGAGCTGATGTAAAAACTCCGAGGTACTGCTTTGGGGAGGACTGTCAGCACCTAAGCCGCACTGTTAAGTTGGGGCCATAATCAACACAACAGCAGTGTCCCAGATGCCCAGCGTTCAGAGGATGGCGGTGCTGCCCCTGAGCCCTGCTGTCCGAGGAGCAGACCTGGGAAGAGTGAGGCTAGCGCTTGTTTCTCTGAAGAGAAATTCCAAGAAGCTGCTTGGGCCCCGAGTTGTGAGCAGGTCCCTTCAGTGACAAGACTGCAGGGCAAGAAAGGAAAGGGGTGTGGAGAGGAGGAAAAACATGCTCTCATGCAGTAACATGAAGAAGCTGCCGAGAAGAGATGTAGTTTGGGGCACTGGATGGTGTTCACCCCCAGTAAGCTGCTCGGGAAGCAGTCTGAAAGGGTGAGACCGAGACTCAGGCCTAATTACATAACTGCTCTGTGGGCATCCGCTCAGGTGGGAAGGCCTAGACTCTGGAACAAGAGTGAATGTGCACTATTTATCCCATCTTTCTCAGTCTCCCCAACCCCTGCGTCAGTCCTCTTTTACAACAGTAGCACTATGCCATATTTGTCTTTTTGTGACTGAGATATTTCACTCAATATAATGTCCTCCAGGGTCATCCGTTTTGTGTAATATTTCATGAGTTTTTGTTTTTCAATGCCACATAGTATTCCATTGTGTAAATATACCACAGCTTCTCAATTATTGTCATGACAGGAGTCCAGAAGCAAGGTAGCATAGTGGAGTGGATGTACTTGGGGGGAGGGATTGAATAACAATTAAAGAATTTTTTTTCTTTTACTTTTCAAAAAGAAAAGCTAATGGTGGCAGGGCAGGGAGGAAAGTGCAACAATGAATGAATAGAAATCCAAAGTCTCTGTAAACTTTCATTAAAATCAATTTAAAATACACAAGGAGGGGTAGTGAATGTATGTGGTTTACTGGGGAGAAGATCCCAGGAAATTTCAGGAAGAGTGTGGAGAGGTGAGTCAGGATATGGAAGGCGGCTAGTGAACAGCGCGCTGACCGGCATGTTACCTCTGTGGGCAGCTGCAGTGCCGTCCTGATGGGGAGATGGGGTGCAGTGGAGGGCACACACCTCTTACAGAACATGCTTCCTGCTGCCTGATTGGCAGAGGGACTGGGGTATCCTCTTCCAAGTCTTTGGTCGAGGGCTGCTTCTGGGAGTATGTTGGGAGAACTAGAGTACTCAGCAAACCCAGCCTGAGGGGCTTGGAGTAGGGTCAGCGTGCACGGAAAATGCAAATGCAGAAGTGCAAATGCAGCTTGTGTGTGCGGTGAAGTCAGAACTAACTAGCAACTGACCCTCCGATTCAGACGCTGTAAATAAATCCACCGGGAGTAGATTGCCCATCCTTCTCCCGCAGAGCGGCTGGTGGATGCATGCCTTTGGAATTGCAGCTCAGCCCCTTACACCACCAGAGCCGTGGTGCTGTATTAACACTGCAGAGAGAAGGAGCAAGGGTGGATGGGACTCTTCTCGTTTTGTGGACCTAGACTCCGAGACACTAAGTATTAGAATCTTTTTTCCAGTCTTCCTGTACAGCTTGTAAAGGAGCTGAGTGAGATGCAAAGCAAACAAATGCTAATACCATCACTTCTGGTGCAGATTTAAATGCCTTTCTTTGTTTTTCTTTCAAGTGCTAAAGGCAGTCTGACTTTCTGAGCTCTTTGCTTTCTTCCTCTGTTTTTAGTAAAGGTTCTCCTTATAGGATAACCAGATGTAGCACTTTCTCTGGACTCTGCCAAGACGCACCCCACTTGCCCTTTTGCTAGTCCTTCTTTCATAGTTACTCTCGGAAGGGAGACAGGAGGTTATTGCCATTAAGTGAAATGTGCAGAGAGGCCTTTAGAAGCGCTGTGGGACCCTCTTCTGCCAGCCTGAGACTGTGCTGGCTCTGTCCACCTCCACCACCACCATTCCCGACTTCCTTTCCAAACCTCAGGATGAAGGGGGCCTTGGGTTTCATGTTGGTAAATAATACAATGTAGAGAGAAGGGATTGTCACTGTTCTTCTTAATGATCTGTGACTCCCTGAAGAGTGTGTTCAGATTTTACAAACCATAACATCGAGCAGCCCCCACAGTGGACACCTTCCTGGGTCGACCCAGATGGTAGAGTCTGGCCAAGGCAGAGGGTGACATGTATGATGGCATCAGGCCTGTGATAGGCATGTGTGCACTGAGGGACAACCCTGGTTGTGCTTGTTCTTGTTGGAGGAGGAAAAAAACCTCACAGAACCACTCGGGGGAAAGACCCAGGCATGAAGCATCCTAAAAAAGCAACGGTTTGATCAAAGAGTCACATGGTGTGCAGTTCTGAATGCTTTTCCCAGAACCCACTGTACTCCCGGCATCAACCTTCTCAACTCTAAATACAGGGTGTGGCATCACTTCGCTGAACACTTTCCCCTCAACAGTCTTTGTCTGACTCATTTGAAACCCTTGAAATGTGTTTAATAATTCGTATTATTTTTCCCTCAGTCATAATGCAATTTCTGTTCTTGGCAACACGTTTCGAGAAGCGTTCTCAGAGGGTGGTATTTGTGGACCAGAGCCGGTCCTCAAACGTTTTTCCAGACTTGGGATATGATGTGCTGAAACAGAGAGTAGGTGTTTAGAAACTTCATAGCCCAGTTGGATGACGTGCCACGGCACCCAGGTGGGATTTCACTTTTCTTATAAATCATCCCCTTTATGTTTTACCAGAGACCCAGCCTCTGCTGGACTTTAGAGAGCAATGGAGGAGAAAAAGAAAACCCCCAAAGAACACTACAGTCAGTGTTTTATAAAAAAATAGCTTGAGAAGTTTTTGTTGTTGTTGTTGATTGCCACCAAGTCGAGCGTGACTCATAGCAACTCTATGAACAAAAGACCTAATGCCTTTCCATGACTGTCGTCGTTTCTCCAAGTTCATAGAGTTTCCAGAGGCATGTGGTTTAGGAAGTGGATGCCATTCCTGCTTCCCAACCTGTTTCACAATTGGGAGCTCCACCAAACACTGTTCACAGTGGGAAACCATTCTGGTATTTGGTACCCCAATGGTATGTGGTGCAGCTTGAGAAGTACTTGCTTATAAATAATAACAGGAGATTCCCCCCCCCATTAGTTTATTTACAACATTAGAATACAAATTCGAACAAATTCTTTCAATTTCTTTCACCCCCTCACCCATCAAATTGTACAACCCAATGATTAATCCCCCCTTCTCCTTGTACGTCTACATCCCTCTGCTTCTAGCCTCTCCTACCCCCCTCCCCATCCTTACATTCATTCTGGTTTTATACAATATTTATCCCTGTGGGACTGAGTTAGTTCACTCAGCATAATGCTCTCCAGTCCTTCCCAAGTTAGGTCATAATTTACAAAGTTACTGCTCCTGCTTGCTGCATAGTGTTCCATTGTGTGAATTTACCATAATTTCTCAATCCATTCGTTAGTGGTTGGACATTTGGGTTGTTTCCATATTCTTGTGATGGTGAATAAAGTTGTGCTATCAACCCAAAGGCACTTGGTTCAAATAACAGGAGATTTTAAATTACCATTAATCTCACTATTCTATGCATTGTTCCAATAAATCACTTTTATGGAGGAAAGTGAAGTTAGGAAGCTGGGAGTGATTTGTTGGTTTGTGTTTTTTTTGGTCAGGTTTTTTTGGTGGGGTTTTTGTTTGTTTTAGTTTTAGTTTTCATGTTGTTCATGCTGTACCTTTTCTAAAATAAAACTACTTCATGTGCTTTAATGAAAAAATAGAGATGAATGAAGATGGGGAGTTTGGGCCAAGCGTGTCTACCATGCTGCACCGTCTGTCATCTCGCCACGCTCTTTTTCACCAGTGGCTCCCACCATTCTCAGCGGCCCTGTGTTTGCTGTTTTCTCCACAGAAGTGAAAGATTACGAGCCTCCGTTTGGTTCCAAGGTGAGGGAGCATCCCTGTGTCGAGAGCATGAAGGACAACGTGTTGCGAGATCGAGGCCGACCAGAAATCCCCAGCACCTGGCTCAGCCACCAGGTGAGGAGTGGAAAACAGATTCCTCTCCAGCAGCCTCTTGGGTCGGGGAGGATGCTGGGACATCAGCTTAGCTCTGAGGAGCGTCCTTTGATGTTTTGTGACCCTATGAAATTCTATTTAAAAGGCAAACCTCTGTCAGTGGGATGACCCTGTTAATATACATTCCAGCCAGCTGGTATGTACAGCATTCAAAGCGGTGTCGGAGAGGATCCTCTGAAGGGACCCCTCCACGCTCCCCTTGCTTGGAGCCCCTGCCTCTCACCCCTGCACCTTTACCTAAGGAGTTTATGTTTCATTTCCTCCTGGATTCCAAATGCCTTATTCTCGGAATGTCCAGCTCCGGAAGAAAATACTTAGCAGATTGAGAAATCATTAGCGTGAGCTGGGCTGCAGGGAGCTCCAGCCACAACGAGGCGTGGGCAGGCCAGGCGCCCGGGGTCCTCCCTGTGAGCACTTCTGGGGTTATGGGGCGGGTGGGGGGAAGGAAAGCAGAGGAGAAGGAAACCTAAGTGAGCAACTTAATTGCATCGTGGCCACTTTGAATGATGTCCCTTCTAGGCTGGGAGCCTTGCTCGAGGGTCAGCTGGTCTGACTGGCCAGCACTTGGGGTGTCCGCTGTTTTGTGCATCCAGGGGCACATTGTTCAGCCCAAGCTCAGAAAGCACACCGTTGTGCTCCCCAAAGCTTTCATTAACTAGTATCTTCATCATCACCTTATTCCTGATTTCCTCCTGGGAGCTCCGAGAAAGGTCACCATGGATGACTCCGCTGGTGATGTTTGAACAGCACTACTGGTGACGCAGACTCCCACGATATAGCAAAACACAAGTGAACTCAGGGCTGTAGATGGGCCGGTGTTGGGGTCAGGGGGAGGGGGAACATCCCGACGGCTTCCTATTTTCTCACTTTCTATTCAGGGAAGACTAGCTAAGGAGGTCTGTAGCAGGGTTATTGGTTCTGAACTCAGAGTGTTCTTGCCAGATTCTTTATTTGGGGAGCATTTTGATGAGTGTGTTGGGAGGAGAACGCTGTGGCCAGGATAAGAAGCAGAGAATGAGAGAAGCACCCCTAGGTCAACCCCACCCAGGAAGGAACTGCCCGTGAAGAGTGAGAGAATCAGTGAACCTCTTTCTCACTGACAGAGCCTTTTTGTTGCCTGATTCAGATGAATCCCTTCTCCCTGTGAGGGCTGGGGCTGTCAGAGTGTTTTCCTGAGGGCAGTACAACTTCAGATGAGAGATATCAGATCAGGCATAGCTGGGAAGACAGAGCCCGAAGCCTGGATCTTTACCAGTGCTGACTAACCACCACCACAGTGGACAGATGGACACAGCCAAGGGAGAGTGGCCGGGGCTGTGGGGGTGGGGGACTTCCCAGGGTGTCAGCAGAGCACACCCCTCCCCCCGACCCTGGAACTCTAAAGCTGTTTGCATCAGTTTTAAATTAGAAGTCGCCAACATGCTGCCTCTTCCAGGCCCTGTTGCCTCCTCTGCTGTACAGTTCTTATAATGAAGGCATTATTCATGATGATAAAATTCTGGAAAGAATTTACATAATACATTTTTTCCCTTAATGAGATTTGTTGCCCTATTGATTTCAAGTTAATGCTTAATATTTAATTTAATTTACTGCCTGTAATTACAGTGCCAGAATAAAATAAATGTTACTTGTGTACCAACAATAACACTCTACTCTTAACAGGACCATCAATCAATACTGTCAATTAGGTGAATTAGACAATTAATTCAACATCATGAACTCAGAGGGTGGGGAGAGATAGAGAGAGAGAGGCTTGGGTGTGTGAAATGTCCTGGTGGGAACAGACAGGGAGGGAAGGGCCAGTTCTTTAGGAAGGAGTGGGGTTTACCTGCCCCACGTGGGCCCCCCAATGTGGAGGAGAAGTTCCCTTGATCCTCTCATTGGCAGGACCACATGCTCTTTCTGCCTGTCACTCTGTTAATTTAACCTCTGGATCCCAAAAAGGACTTGAACTGGCTGCCAGAGATATTTACAACGTGAAATAGAAGTTAAAGATGCAGGAGAAGTTAGCAATATTTCCTGGATAGGTTCCCAGTGAGGTATTTAAGATAACCTCGCTTGTCCCCTAGAGGGAGCCCTGGTGGCTTAATGGTGAAGAGTTGTGTGCTGCCAACACAAAAGCAGAGGTTCGAATCCACCAGCTGCTTTGCAGGAGAGAGCTGGATAGTCTCTTCCCATGCGACTCTCCACTTCTGAAAAACCCATTAGAGGGTCAGCTGTGAGTCGATTCTGACTCAACAGCACGTAACAGCAACAAACACTACTGCGTTCCTAGCTCTGATGGCCTGCCTAGTGGGAAAAGAGTTGCACTGCCAACCCAAAGGCAGGCAGTTCAAGTCCACTAACTGGAAGAAAGATGAGTACTTTTCTCTCGTGCGGTTACAGCCTCTGAAAACCTGCTGGGGAGTCACTGTAAGTTGGTTCTGACTCCGCAGCACTGAGCTCAGTGTTGTCTTGGCCGTCATCTTTATGGAAGTGGGTCACCAGGCCTTTCTTCTGCAGGGCTGCAGGGTCGGTTCACACTGCCAACCTTCAGGTCAGAGGGGTCATTTGTAAACTGCTTGTGCCCATGGAGGCCGAGTCCTGTGAACCTGCCTCCAGTGAGGTCTGTCCCTCCTTACAGGGACCTCTGTTCCAACTAGCCCATCCTGCCATTATTGGAGAGTTGGGGAGCACAGCCAAGGGCCTCCTGGGCAGTGAGGGGAGGCCCCTGTGAGTCTTTCCACAGAGCATGGGCGACTTTGCACCATGAAGCCAGCTTCCGGCCCTGACACATCACACACTGACTTGTGCTTAGTCCTGTAAAAGTCTATCAGAGAAGATGGCTTTAGGGGTCCCTGCACGGGGAGTCTCCAGGTACCGGGGTGCTGCAGTGAGGAGTCCTTGTCCTGTCTCTCCAGTTCATGAGCCTTTGGGATCAGAGAGGGGCAGAGAGCAGACAGGGCCACCAGGCCCCAGAAAGGCCACCACCTGTCCCCAGCCCTTATTCCAAGAAGCAGGGGCCACCAGAGCTGGCAGGCAGGGACCCTGGACAGGCTTATGGGCATCTGAGGCCTTTCACGCTTAACTGGCCCTACAGGGTCCAGGGCAGGACAGCCACGTGGCCCTCCACGGAGCCCTCCTTCTCACTCTGTCCTTGGCCCTCTCTCCTGCTGCAGGGCATCCAGATGGTGTGTGAGACGCTGACCGAGTGCTGGGACCACGACCCCGAAGCCCGACTCACGGCCCAGTGTGTGGCCGAGCGCTTCAGCGAGCTGGAGCACATGGACAGGCTCTCGGGGAGGAGCTGTTCCGAGGAGAAGATTCCAGAAGACGGCTCACTGAACACTACTAAATAGCCTTCCTGGGGACAGGCTATACCATGCCCAAAGAGGCCTCCCCTTTTGCCAAAGAGCAGAGGCAGCAGGAAGCTGCCCCTGAACTGATGCTTCCTGGAATACCAAGGGGTCCCCCTCTCCTGAGAGCTGTGGAGCGTGGAGAGGCCCCACAGCGGAAAGTGGGGGACAGAGCGCTGTGTGCCTTTGACGTTGTCCTAGGATAAGCTGTGTTAGCACTGCCTCAGGAAATGAGATTGATCTTTACTATAGCTAATAACATTTGCACTTTATTAATGCGTGTATATAAATATGGAATAGCTATGTTTTATATCTATATCAATATGTTTATATCGATATATACAGCCATACTCTGAAGAGAGATGAGGAAAAGGATCAGATATTCCCAGGAAATTGCTTTTATTGGGGAGTTCCAAAGCTGAGCAGGGAGGGGAAGACCCATGACCACACTGGCACCTGACAATCATGCCTACAGTGGCTCTCTGATGATTCTAGGGGCCGCTTTGCATTAGAGAAGGGGACCCCTGCTCTCAGACCTGCTATTGCCATGTTGCACTTAACTTTGCAAAATCATGATTCCCTGCGGGGGTTCTCTTCTGGCCACGGAGTGGGATATTGTTGCACTGTTGGGGGACCAGCGTTTCTGCTCCCTCCTTCCAGCTCAGAAACTCGGCCCCATCTCTAAGATTTGATAAACATTTTGAGATCCGCTTTTTACCTTCTTGGGCTGTCGAAAGAACAACCAGAAGGAGGAACAGGCCAGCATGAGAAATTGGAGCCCGTCTTCTGACTGGCACACCTTGCATGAAAGATGGGGCCCTGGTAACATAGTTAAGTGGTGAGCTGCTTACTGAAGAGTTAAGAGTTCAAGCCCTCAGGCAGTTCTGTGGAAGAAGGATGAGGCATCTGCTGATGGAGCATCATGGGAATTAACGTGGTGGCGGTGGCGGTGGTGGTTTGTTGTTTTATAAGAGAAAGGGAACTATTTCTCCTTAGACCTGTATCATTATTCTCTCCCTCAACCCCTTAATTTTTTTTTCCTAAAAGGGAACAAATCCCCTCTGAGGGGCTCTTCATGTTTAATTTTTTTAGCACACTCAGCTTTAGTCGCTGATTCCAAGCCTCCTGGGCTCATAGATGCTCCTGTTCCTGTGAGCCTAATGAGAAAGATTTGAGTAACACAACACTGCCACATTCAGGCCTGTTTTCTTAGGCACTCACTCTGAACATTAAGTTTTGTTTGGCCAGCGTAGCACTTAAAAAATAAATGAATAAATAAAATTGAGCCACACTATTTAAATCTTTGGAGAGTTAGGGGGGATGGGGGGGGGGATTCAGAATCCCGGATGAGCTTAACAGATGTTTTCCCATACATCATCACAAAGCAAAAGTATGCACACACTTCAGCCTGGGCTCTGCTTGTCATTGTAAACACTTGGCACTGCCCAGCTTCATGGAAGGCTGAAAATAAACCTGACCTGGACCAAGGTTCCTTGGAAGCAGTGCCCTTCAGACAGTCTCTGGCTCTGTAGCTGATTTTCTGCCTTGACTTTGATCAGAGTTTAGGACTTGAAGTTGGCCTTTGATTGGATAAAGAGGACCTCCTCTGGTAGCCCTGGTTAATCCAAATCTTTTGTTTATATATTGAGTTTTGTGGATTTTTTTTAATTGCTCTTTACTCCAAGAAGCTTTTGCTGTGGTCACCAGTTGCCAACCCACCAGCCTTTGTAGAACTCGTTTTGCAAGGACTTGAACGTGGGAGACAGGTGCAGTTAGAGATTCATGTTACACACAGATTCTTCTGAAGGAAGAATGAGCTTTAATATTCCATAGGAAACTTGCTAACCAGTAAGCAGTCATTAATGTTGCAAATAACAGTCTTTATTTTTTTAAAGTGTTTTTAAAGCTACTTATCAGCCAAATAGAAATTCAAAAGAAAGCAGCAGTGTTGAGCAAACCAGCACTGCTGGTGTGTGTGGGGGGCCTTCTGGCATTGGGATTTTAGGGCACAGCTGAAGTGGCATCAGATGCCGTTTCTAGGCACCCCGCTCAGTGGGGTGAACTGAGAGAGATACATGCATTTGGTTGCACTTCTATGGAAATACCAGAAAAATGCATGTGCACCTAGGGCTCACCGATGCCATTCCAATAACTGTTCCTCATTGACCTCTAGTGGTGAATTGCTAGAATACTGGTCCATTAATGTGGACTCTTCAAGATCGCAGAGAGCTCTGTCACTTCTAAGTCATCATCAACATGAACTGGAATGTAATGTCAGATGATACTGTGGCCTGTCTTATTTTTTATTTTTCTTATTAAAGGTAAAAGACCAAGGAATAACTCTGTAGTTCCTTAAATTACTGATTTTTTTTTCTTACTGCTACATATAAAGGGAAAGTTTATTCTTTTACAAAACACTTCATGTATTAAAATAGGAATGTGAATGCTATATACTCTTTTTATATCAAATGTCTCAAGCACTTATTTTCATTCTATGCAGTGTTTTGTCTTTTATATGAATAAAATGTTTATTAGATTGAATAAAGCAAAAATACTCAGGTCAACTTCCTGCCTCCTGTTTCTGGTAGCTAAACCCATTTTCCTTATTGTTTATTTGGCCATTTAGGGAAAAGTCACAAGGCAAATCCTCTCAAACTTCTGGAGAAGCTAAACTCCATGAAGAAGAATTTGGCATCAGGATTGGAGGAAGATTGATCATTAACCTGTGTTATGCAGATGACACTATCTTGCTTGCTGCAAGTGAGAAGGGCTTGAAGCACTTGGTCCTTAAAGTCGAAGACTACAGCCTTCAATGTGGATTGCATCTCAAGGTCAAGGAAACAAAAATTCTCACCACTGGACTGATAGGCAACATCATGATAGATGGAAAAAAAGATTGAAACTGTCAACAACGTCATCTTACTTAGATTCACAACCAGTATACTTGGTACCAGAAGTCAGATCAGGAGTCATAAGCACTGACAGAGTCTGCAGTCAGGGATCTCTTCAAATTACTGAGGAGCAATGATCTGAGTCTGAGGACTAAGGTGCACCTGATTCAGGCTGTCATCTTCTTGGTGACTTGCTGTGCTCTCATTGCTGGACCATGAATAAGGATGACAGAAGAATTGATGTATTTGAGCCATTGGAGAAGAATATTGAATATCCTGTGGACTGTCAAAAGAACAAACAGCTGTGTCGTGGAGATGGTACATACAACCAGAGGGTTACTTGTAGACAAAGATAAGGAAGCTTCATCACACATACTTTGGGCATATTGCTAAGAGGGGCTATTCCTTGGAGAAGGACATGATGATGGGAAGGGTGGAGGGCTGGTGAAGGAGAGGAAAACCCTCAACCAGGTGGATTGACACTGCGACTGCTGCAATGGGCTTGAGTGTGTCAGAGATTATGAGGACGCCACAAGTTTGGACAAGATTCAGGACTGTTGTTTTTTGGGTCATTATGAGTGGTGCTCAATTTGACAGTTCTGTTTTAAGAAGAGAAGAATTCACATAAGTGCTGTAATGTGAGACGAAGCAGATGATGCATTCGAACCACCAGGGAAGGACATCCTTTGGGTGAGTTAGTGATACCACTCTGTAGAGACTGTGCCACCAGAGCTCCCTTGTGCACATTGGTGGTGGTGATGTGCTCTTGAGTCTACTATGAGTCACAGTGACCCTCTGAACCACTGTGCCATCCGGAACCAACCTCCCCACTCAACATCACACCAACCCACCACCACAGTCACTAGGAATCCAACTCATTCACACCCAGTCCATCACCACAGAAACTGGGAATCCATCTTGTTCCCACCTGGACCCTTCACCAGAGTCAACAGGAATCCATCTGGTACCGACACGGCCCAATCACCACAGTCACTGGGAATCCATCTGGTTCCCACCCGGCCCCATCGCCAGTCACTGGGAATCCATCTCGTTCCAACCAGCCCCATCGCAAAGTCATTGGGAATACAACTGATTCCCACCCGGCCCCATCACCACAGTCGCTGGGAATGCATCTCATTCCTACCCAGCACAATTGCCACAGTGGCTGGAAATCCAACTCGTTCCCACCTCACGCCATTGTCACAGTAACTGGAAATCCATTAGTTCCCACCTGGTCCCTTTGGCAGAGTCACTGGGATTCAATTTAGTTACCAAACAGCACATCGCCACAGTCACTGGGAATCCAACTCATTCACACCCAGCCCTATTGCCACAGCCACTGGGAATCCAGCTGGTTCCCATCCAGGCCCCACCGCCAGTTACTGTGAATCATCTCGTTCCTACCCAGCCACATCACCACAGTCACTGGGAATCCATGTCGTTCCCAACCAGCCCCACAGCCACAGTCACTGGGAATTCATCTCCTCCCCACGCAGCCCCATCGCCACAGTCACTGGGAATCCATCTAGTTCCCAACCGGCCCCATCGAAAAAGTCACTGGGAATCCATCTGGTTCCAAACTGGCCTAATTGACACAGTCACTTGTAATACATCTCATTCCCAAACGGTCCCATCGCCAAGTCAATGGAATACATCTGGTTCCCACCCAGCCCCATCACCACAGTCACTGGGAATCAGGTTCCCACCCGGCCCCATTGCCAGAGTCACTGGGAATCCACCTGGTTGCCAACCAGTCCCATTGTCATAATAAGTGGGAATCCATTTGGTTCCCACACTGCCTATTGCCACAGTCACTGGATATCCAACTCATTCCCAACTGGCCCCATTGCCACAGTCACTGGAAATCCATCTGGTTCCCTCCCGGCCCCATCTCCAGAGTCACTGGGAATCTATCTCCTTCCCATCCAGCCCCATTGACACAGTCACTGGAATCCATCTCGTTCCCAACCAGCCCCATCGCCAAAAGCACTGGGAATACATCTCATTCCAACCGACTCCAAGCCACGTCACTGGGAATACATCTGGTCCCTGCCCGACCCAATCACCACAGTCACTGGGAATCCAACTCGTTGCCACCCAGCACCATCGCCACAGTTGCTGGGAATCCATCTCATTCCACCAGGGCCCATCAACAAAGTCGCTGG